AAATAAATCTGTTAGTCTTTAAGGTGCCACCAGGCTCCTTGTTGTTTTTGTCATTCAATCAGTTTGACTTTTAGTGTGGCTACAATAAAGAATGAGGCCTTGTCCTTCCCTCCTCCCCCATCCCACCTTGTCCGTTATCTAAAGAAAGAATGAATGGTTTCAAAACAATCGCTACTTTATTTCGAAGGGGGGAGGGTGGTTGGCTTACAGGGAATTAAAATCAACAAAGGGGGCAGGTTTGCATCAAGGAGAAACACACACAACTGTCACACCGAAGCCTGGCCAGTCATGAAACTGGTTTTCAAAGCCTCTCTGATGCGCCGTGTGCCTTGCTGTGTTCTTCTAATTGCCCTGGTGTCTGGCTGCTCATATTCAGATGCCAGGTGATTTGCCTCAATCTCCCACCCCACCATAAACGTCTCCCCCTTACTCTCACGGATATTATGGAGCACACAACAAGCAGCAATAACAATGGGAACGTTGGTTGTGCTGAGGTTTGACCAACAGCGCCAGTGAGCTTTTAAACATCCAAAGGCACATTCTACCACCATTCTGCACTTGCTCAGCCTATAGTTGAACTGCTCCAGGCTTCATGAACGGATCCCCAGAGCAGGAGAGCAGAGTTGCAGCAGAAGCAGTGGACGAGGACGGTTAATAGTTCAACTGCACCGTCTGCTGCCAGAGCACCCAGGAGGACCAGAACGGATCCTCCTAGCTCGTCGCTAGGGAGCAGGAGAGCAGAGTTGCAGGACAGCAGAGTTGCAGCGGAAGCAGCGGAGCCGTACACCATGCCCTGGAGGTTGCTAGGAGCCAGGCAGGGAAGACATTCCCAGAACCCCCGGCCAAGCTACATGTCTGACGAGGACTGTTAGCAGTCCTACTGCACCGTCTGCTGCGAAGCCAAGGAGCTGCTCTGTGTAGCAATGCCAGCTGCTGCAGGTGCTTCTGTGTCAAATGCTTGGAGGTCCAGGTAGGGCAAGATACCTCGGCCAAGGCAAAAGAGCAAGAGCCCTGGAGCTGTTACACGTGTCAACCACAGAAATGCTATGGGGTGTTACAGCGCCGGCTAGACTGGAATGTACGGCTGCAAGACTTCTTCACCAGCGACAAAGGACAGGAATATGATGCACCTAAAATCTAAAAACGCCCACACATTTCCCAGAGTCACTACCCTTGATAACAGAACATCAATGATTGCATTAGCTACTTGGATCATAGCAGGCCCCACAGTAGACTTGCCCACAACAGCAGAGGTGATGGTGAGCTGAGCGGGCTCCATGCTTGCCGTGCTATGGTGTCTGCATGGGTAACCCAGGAAAAAAGGCGTGAAACGATTGTCTGCCATCGCTTTCACGGAGGGAGGGGTGACTGACGTACCCAAAACCACTCATGACAATGTTTTTTCCCCATCAGGTATTGGGAGCTTAACCCAGAATTCCAATGGGTGGCGGAGACTGCGGGAACTGTGGGATAGCTACCCACAGTGCACCGCTCTGCCGACTTAATGTGCTTAGTGAGGACATATGCAATACAACTTCTATAAAATCGACCTAATTTCATAGTGTAGACATACCCTAAGCTAGAAAGTTGTACAGCGTTAACTACTATAGACTCCCTCACTGGTAGGGACGCAGTTATACTGGTATAGAGGTGCTTTAACAGTATAGCCATGCATCCACACTATGGCTTTTACTGGTAAAAAAAAAAAAAAAAATCACACCCTTACTCAAACTAGTTACACCAGTAAAACTTTCACATGTATTCTGCAGGCCACAGTCTGTCGTAGGCCTGGCCTGCATACCGATTCTGTACCAGTATAACTGTCAGTTAGAGGTGTGATTTTTTTCGTTTTATCAGTAGTGTTATACCAGTACAAACCTCCCCATCAGGATGCAGATACTGGTATAGATCATTCTCTTTCCCTACAGGAATAGCCATAGTGGTAGGAACATCTTTAAATCAGTATAACCACACCAACTGTATGGGCCTAGTTAAATCCAGACAGCTTTTGTGTGTAGACAAGGCTTTAGGGGGTTTGGGGCTTAGGTATTGTAGGTATTTACGATGGCAATCTCATCAAACTACTGACAACTTGACTCTTAATATTCCTGCTCAGATAATAAGGGGACAATCTGGTGTCCAAAGGCTGGAGCTCCTGCCTGGAGACCGCGACAACTTAGCTATCCAGACCCGTGGCGGCCCTGAGAAACATGAAGTGACTGGCTGGGTATTGGTAAGTACTTGTGCACATTCATATACAATTCTGATAACTTTTTGGCAAGATCCAAGTTTCTATGCATAATACTGGGAAATTACAATGGAGTAGGTGCAGTATTTTTTTGGTTGAAGTTAAAAAGCAGAGACATGTATGACAAGGAGTAAGATTAAATGCATTCAGTTGGCCCAGTTCTTTGCTTTTATCTTTTGTAGTTATTTACACCCATGCAAAATGTGTGTGAAAACAATGAGGAAGAGCAGGATGTTTAAAAGCTTTCAGGAATAGGACCAGACTGAAATGACAGACCACCTCTCCTTCTGCACTGTCTGTAAAATACTGCCATCAACAGGTGCAGCACAGCAGGTCGCTAGGACAGGGATTGTTAGCACCGGAGACCTTCCGGTGAAGGTCACATGGGAGTGGAATTCTCCACAGATCAGGGCACTACTGTCCTACCTTTTGTGGAGCATAGTGCAAGACGGAGCACGACACTAGACACTCCCTCTCCACAGAGACAGAGTCACTCTCATAACTTCATATGAGCCCCACAAACCCAAGCCAGAATCAGCCTGACCTCTCTCAAGCACAGTTTATATTTTTCAGAGTAGCAGCCGTGTTAGTCTGTGTCCGCAAAAAGAACAGGAGTACTTGTGGCACCTTAGAGACTAACAAATTTATTAGAGCATAAGCTTTTGTGGACTACAGCCCACTTCTTCGGATGTACGTGTCTTGCTGGGGCACGCTTTCCAATCAAGGCTGTACAGCTCAAGAGACTGTTCCCTATAGTTACAAGCTTAACCAGATGAGATGCCCTCCTCAAAGAACTCTGAACTACTCGGTAGACACTTACTTAAGAGGAAAGAGGCAGAGACCTTTACTTCCGCTTGATTCCATGTCGTACAGCACAGAGTGAGGATTGCTATGTGAACATAGCAGGACTGGTCTGTCCTGGAGTTCACAGAAAACCCTCGCTCTTAGCATCTCTGACCTGTGTCCTCAAGGAATGTGAACTCTCAGGAATCTGCATCCCAGACATTCAAAACTTGAAGTTAAAAGATGGTTTGTTTTTTTTAAAGAACTGTTCTCATAGAGGGAGTTACTCAAGTGGGAGTATGACAACTGGAGCAGCATCCTAGGGCCTGAGCTGTAATGCATGGAAATGGATTGGAGAGGGGAAAGAGCAGCCGCAGGGAAGCCAGCAGAGAGGATGGCACAGTAGGGCAGGGGTGACAGACTTTGCAAGTAGATAAGCTTTGGCACTAACAGACCACACTGTGCAATCTCTTCAGCTGCCAAACGAGGTGGTGGCTGGGGAATGGAACTCAAAGGCATTAGCTTACACTCTACGCCAAAACAGAGGTGGAAGCTTAGGCAGAGAAAGCTTTGGAGCAGGGCAAATACGCTACTGAGCCAACAGAAATATGATGAAGCACCTTCCCGGAGAGGAGCATTACGGCTACCGCTTTTTCCTGCCTCCCTCTCCATGACAACAGGCAGTTCTAAAACATCACAGACACAAACCTAAGCAAACACAAAAAAGGGTTGAAGTCTGGCTAAAGCAAATCCTGCTGTGGAAGACAGAGTGAAATGAGGAGTGGATTGATTCACTGAGCTCCAGGACAGGTACCAGAGTGCTTGCTGTAGTGTAGCTGGATACTGCCACCTATCTGATTTGGGAACTAGAGCAAACCACTACTGACCCAGTCAGGCTGACTGAAGCCACCGCTGGCCCTTCGGCTCCGTTGAAAGAAGTCAGGGTTGAAGTTTGTGCTCTTTGCTAATAGGGAATAAATTCTAATTATTTTTAAAACTTCAGTTTATGATGCAATTTTTTTAAACAAAACTATTGCATGTTCCATACTGGTGGCCAAGGGAATATTCTGGACATGTGCAGTCTCCAACTGCTAATTCCCACTCGATCAGTTACCTGTATTGAGTCTATTACTAGTGCTATTGTTTATTGCTGTTATACAACCCAACAATAACACAAAGTAACTGGAGAACAAATCCTCTGTAGTAAACAAGGATACATGCTGCTTGTTTTCATAGATCTCTCCTTTGAGTAAAGCGGATGCTGGAGAGTACGAGTGTCATGCATCAAACTCCAAAGGAGAGGCTACAGCCTCTGCACGAATTACTGTCCTCAATGACTTACATGAAATACCCCTAACTAAAGGTAGGTAATATGTGCAAAGTATTTTTTTTTTTAATGGAGTTTATGCCCTTTGGTTGTTTAGGATATAAGAGAACAACCTGAAACGTTGCATTTAAAACTGTTAGCTGTAGCTTGCTGATATTTCCAATGTCAAACCCAGTCTTTCTGGTTCTGGTGAAGCACTCATGGAGGTCTCTAGTGTAAGAGCTCACACATAGCTGAGAATTGGGTTGTTGCATCTTTATTAAAGACATGCTTTTTCCACAGGTTAACTAGGTAAAGGTTAAAACATTGACTAAAAATCCCTTCTGTTCCAAATAGCTCAGCTTTCAGGCTACAGGGGTGATTTCATTAGTTCTCCAGCCACCATGTTATCTGAAAAAACCTGAATTTCAAGTTGTATAAAAGACTTTAAAAACAAACACTTCCAAAAACAGCAGGACTATTTTGCCAATATATGTAGTCCTAATAGCCTGGATCATCTTCCATCCTAGCAACCTTTATCACACACATTTATAGGTTAGTGTATGTAATCCATTCATGTAGGTTCTAGACTTGTGCTCTTTTAAATGGCACATCTCAATAGCTGGAAGATGTGTTTAAAAAAAAAAATCAAATATTGTCCAGCAGTAAAGCAAGAGTATAAAATGACTCCCACCGTCAATTGGGTCAAGTCAGACACTAACATAATTAAGTTATGCCCTTTGCTAAAGGTGCTTGGTTTTGGCCATATTATACCTCTTTTTAGAAATCCATCATCACAAATGCAGGGGGATACATGCATCTAATGATTTAGCTTTTTAAAGGACAACTGAAAACTGTCCAAAAACAGGTCAGGGAAGTGATAGGCTTTTGCTGTTTGTTAATGACAATGCTAGTACTAGAATGCACCATGGCACAGACTTGATAGTACACCATAGTCACAAAGATACATATGAGGAGAAATAAAAGTATGCCACAAATTATTGCAGCTCCTTCTCACCTTTAGGAAATGACAAGGAGTTAAAAGTGTTGATGCAACAAAAATCAATTTCCTCCAGAATTATTTATTGTTGCATCGAAGTTTGACATATGCTTTAGCTAATCAATAAGTGAAGGTGCAGACAGTCTATAAAAGGAGTGTACCTCAAAGCTGTTAAAGGGGCATTGTGATAGGGTGACCCTGCTTCGAGTGCCATCCAATGCATGACAGTTGTGCCAAGCCTGGTTCCCCTTTGCTCACCTTTTGTACATCGTCCGAGTTCAATTTATTCATCTACACCAGTGCCATAGTTCCTCAAAAGCCTGGTTATAAAGCAATAAAAATACATAGTATGTTTTTCCATTCCCCTGTCACCCATCCAAGAGCCTCCATCAGCACTCTGTTCTCGATTCAGGACCCCGGTCTCTAGACCTCTACTCCCACAGCGCTTCATGGAGAGGGTTCTCCCTCAGACAGCGTTCCACTCCCAGTCCTTCCTCCGTGCCTGCCCCTCCTGCTTCTCTTCACCACGCTGAATCGCCCCCTTTTTTCTAGAGGCCACTGCTCATTAGGAGCTCTTGCTTTGGTCAGTTCCCACCAGCAGTTCCAGCTCTCAG